GGGGCATCTGCTGAAGGTCTGGCTGGCAGCTGCTGGAGGGGGATTGTGATGGGGCACCGCAGCCCCGTCCGCACTTTAAATTCCCCGGCCTTATACAAGGCGCACTGAAGGAAGCACACGACCGGGTGTCTCCTCTCCCAGCTGGTTTGAACTCTGCACCTGGATGGTCACACTGCCACCAGAGAGGGGAGAGAGGAGGGTCTGAAGCTGGGAGCGATTGGAGGGAGGGGGTGCTGAGTGCTCAGCCTGGGCGGGAGGCTGGGGTATCCGGGAGGAGCAAACACCACCCCCTCATGGGGGTCAGTGCGGGCGCTGAGCTCCCCGGCTGGTCACCCGCCCGAGTGCCACCGCCCCCACTCTTGCCCTGGCTCCTCCTTGTTCAGCAGCTGTCTTCCCCACTGCTAGCTGGGGCCACTCACTGTGACTGTCGCACCTTTTGGTGTTAAGTGGTCGCAAAGGCAGTGCTGCGTTGTGGCTCTGCGTGGATACATGATGGTGGGAGGTGCCGGTGCAGCGGAGGTAGCAAATTGAGAGATTTTTCTACCAAAAAACACAGTTCCTCTGACTTTGCAACCAGCCAGCAAAGGTAGCAATTCCTGAGCAGTTGTACCGAATGTCATGTATGTATGACAGAAACTGTGACGGTCACAAAAACGGAGAGGTTTCACTTTTTGCCTATACACCGGCTCAAGAGGAGCGAACCCTACATATTTATGTCCCTATGAGCATATCTGGGTCTTTAAGGGGTAATTTTGGGGAGGGAGTGGAGGGGGGAGAGGTTACAAAATAAAAGGAAAATGTATGTGTTATATTTAAATGATAGAATTTTTCAAAAATGAAGGGAAAAAGGAAGTTTGTATTAATATCAGAAGGAAAGTGATTAAAACATCAGATATAGTTTTTTGGTGGACAATATTTGCAAGTTTTCTGTCTTGTGCTACAATAAAAGGGGTGGGGGTACAGGAGTGAGGGCAGGCAGTTGGGAGAGTTGGGGAACTCAGGGCAGGGGTCGAAGGGTGCTAGAGTGAAGGCAGGAGGTAGGGGGCTGAGGGCACAGGGTTTGATGCGAGGAGTTAGGGCAGGAGTATAAGGTTGCAGGGCTGGAGTCAGGGCAGAGATATGGGGGACTCTTGGTAAGGGGTTGGGGTTAAGATGTGTGGGCAGGGGGCTGGAAGGTTTGTGGCGGCAGCTCAGGGCAGAAGATGATAGAGTGAGGGCAGGGGGATGGATTCAGGGCAGAAAGTCTGGTGGAGGGGGGCTCAGGGTAGGGAGGGGGGAGCAGGAGTAAGGGCAGCAGGAAGAGGGTACAGAACTCAGAGGGAGCTGAAAGAGATTACGGGGCTTACAAGGGTGACAATGCTGTGCTGATGACTCCTCCCAGGGGGACAGAGCTTCACTTTCCTGCCAGCAGCTCCTCCAGGAGAGGAGGTGGACCTGCATGGGTTGGGCCTGGCCTCAAGTTTGTCTGGGGTGAGCAAGGCTCCATGGGCCAACCCTGGCCTTCAGCTGGCCCCCATCTTGCAGCTGGTGAAGGAGGGCAGGATTCTGGGACCCCTGTAGCCTGTCCAGTAGCATCAGGTGAATGGAGTTTCTCAAAACTAAAGCTCATTAAAAACTAAATCCATTCTACAATGAGTCAGGATCGTTTGACTGGTCTTGCTATTTTTGCAATGAAGAAGACATCACTGAGTTTTTGTCATACAATGACATTATTACTGATTTTGCAGCCAAAAAAGCCAGAAAGATTGCTTTTAATTAAAAACAAATCCTTGTTTCAAAACCTCTCCATATAAATTTCCAATAAAATGTTGACAAAATTTAAAAAATATTATTTGCATCATTCTATCAATAAATCAGAATTTTTTCTATAGTGCTACTTCTTTAGTGTTAGTCCATCAGCATTACAGTGTGCTTAATTAAGTTAAACAGTTTTTAATAATGTGCATATGGCAAGTTTTCCAATACTGTAAGCTTATGTTGCTAAGAGCAGGTCAGGCATAGGGGCACCAGTTTAATAATCCCGCCTAGAGCACCATAAATCCTAAAGATGGCCCTGCATGTGACCCTGCACTTCCATTCCCTTTCAGCTCCTGCCCTACTCTGTCCTCCCGCATTAGCCCTTATGAGCCCTTATCTAACCCACAGCTGCCCCTAGCCCCTGCTTCCTGACCTGGCCTGTCAGGTGCTATGAAGAAGACTCTGAAGTCTCTTTAGGCTCTTTCTCTTCCCTAGCTGGCTAAAAGTGCTCTCTAGCGGGCAAAAGGCAGAACTGCAGCAACTTTTCAGCAGAAGCTTTTATCAGTGCAAAAAATACTAAATTATGAACAGCTCATTAATTATGCCTGTGGAGTAGCACAGAATTCTCCCTGGAGTAAATGGTAGCCTCTTTGAGGAAAGTCACCACACTCACCCTTCCAGTCACCACTTACTCACACAGGGCTCTTGGCACCCTCCACATGGAGATCTGCTGGGCTGATGCGAAGTGTCCATTCACAAAGGTCCCACTTGCTCAGGTGGTGAGGAATGCTCAACCTAATGAATAGCATCAAAAGGCTGGGACACCCTGGCCTGCCAGAGGTTAGCTATGGAAGAATAAATCACTTGCCTACTTGAACAGTAGCAGGCCATCTGCTATCCCAAGGAATGGTTTGTGTGGATAATCCTGCCACCACCACCCCAAGCAGGGACCAGGACATCAGTAGGTTGTACCTAGGCTATTTAAGGAGTGAAACTGCTGCCCCTGGCCCACTCTGTTTCAGATGCTATTATCACCATCAGTTGCTGCCAGATGATCAGAGATCACTGACCTCCTTTCATGGAGTGTTAAAAAGCCTTTCACTTCATTGTTATGTTTGGCGGTGCAAATAAATTATTGATGATAAAATAGTACCGAAGCTAAACAGACAGAATAAACAAGAAAATAAAAACATTAATTCTACATTGATTGTACAAAGAAGATTTATAGTCAAGATGAAAAACAGGGCCATACAATACGTTTTTGATATCAGACAAATTCAAGCAAACATTCTTGTCTTAGCTTAGCAGAGACTGAAGTACATACATTCTGCATAGCACAAAAAAGTAGAACTGAAATACAATTAATGATGACACCAAGTTCATTCGGTAGATTAAGCAGCATGCATTTAAATCTAGTTTTCACATAGAAATTTTGCACAAATTGGCGGACAATTTGATTATAGCAAGTATATGAATGGATGAGACTACTCCTCTTCCTTATAATTATATATACAATAAAGAGCATTTTGCATTCTTACTCATGTAAAATCAATCTGTTTTTTTAATTTCAGTGATAAAATTCCAGTTCCTTGCAGAAGCAGTTCTTGTGTTCTCTAATTATTTGAAACAGCCATCATATTCCAAAATACCTTAACCGTCTGTTTTCATTAACAAGTTGAAATTCACACAAAAAAGCAAGTTCTTCTCAGAATGATCAGAGAATCCTCTTATAATAATTGTATATAATCCCTAAAACAAAGGGGGAAAAGTCACATAAGTTTGTTACCACTTTTCAGCCCAAAATCTGGGGAGAGAAGACTAGGATAAGGAGCCCAGGTAGGGGAGAAATAGGTCTTGCACAGGGACAGGCTGAAGTTAACAAGGGCAGAAGGAGTCAGGTTTCGGAGAAAACAAAAAGACAGAAAAGTATGTGACCACAGGACCATATTCCCCTCCAAAGCCTGGAATGGAAACCAATTCTTGTCTCTCAAAACTCCATTGCTGAAAGAACAAGACTGTGAAACACACTGGCAAAGTGTCTGTCTCATTCATTCTAGTGTTGATTCACAGAGAATGGCAACCTGCTACTGCTATCATTTATTATATTTGCTCAAGTGGCAGAGGTCTGTGTGGTGGACTCAAAGGTTCCAACCTTGTTGATTACCTGTGTGGGTGTCAGTATCTCGTCACATGGTGAGATTTCTGTTTGTTTGGTTTTTAATTTGGGAAATTCAATTTAAAAACTGCTATATTAAAAGAATTGTATTAAGTGTGCAACACCAAGCATGCAGAAATTAGAAAATGAAGAATTAAGATGACCTTTTGTGCATATGCATTATGATGCAGCCTTTAATTACATGATCACATACTATTTTTTGCACAAGATCCAACAGGATCACAGTTAAGCACTTTATAAATCTTGAATGTCCTGGTTTCAGATACTTAAATCTTAAATTTCATGGTGTTGTCACAAGCCCAGAATATATATTTTAAATAGCAAAATGTAAAATTGTAAAACCCTTAAAACTCAGTGTTTCTCAAACTGGAGGCCCTGACCAAAAAAGGGGTTGCAAATCTATTGTAGGGGGGTTGCAGTTGTACCACCCCTATTTCTGAGCTGCCTTCACAACTGGGTGGCCAGAGAACAATGGTTACTTGATGGTCGCCCAGCTCGAAGGGCAACACTACTGCCACCAGCAACAGAGAAATGAGGGTGGCAATACCACATCACGTCACTCTCAGGGTATGTCTACACTACAGCACTAATTCGAACTAACTTAGTTCGAATTAGTTAATTTGAACTAAGCTAATTCGAACTAACGCATCCAGACTAAAAAACTGGTTCGAATTAGCGTTTTGCTAATTCGAACAAGCATGTCCACACAGAGTGGACCCTGAACCGGGGTTAAGGATGGCCGGAAGCAGTGCCGGCAGGGCATCAGATGAGGACTTAGAGCGTGGAGCTGCTGCCTCAGGCTAGCCGAGGGCTGTGCTTAAAGGGACCTGACCCCCACCCCGGACAGACAGTTCTCAGGGGTGCCCCGCTTGCTAAGCAGTCCTGGCTTGGATTGCCCGGAGTACCCACACTGGGCACATCACAGCACTCGGCCATCAGCCCGGCTGCACTTGCCGCAGGCTGCCATCTGGGGAGAGGGGGCAATTGGGGGGCTGCAGGAGAGGTTCCACCCCCAGAAGCCCGCAGAGCCAGCCCAGTCCTCCCCATCGGGGGCTCGTACCCCATTCCTCCCTCATCTCCTTCCACTTACCCTTCCCTAGCCCCCCTTCCTGATGTACAAAATAAAGAAAACGTGTGGTCAAAAATAGAATCTCTCTTTATTGAACAAAACTGGGGGAGACTGGGAAAAGGAGATGGGAGAGGGG